TATGTATCTATAAAATGATCATTTATTGTAATATAACTTGTATTTCTTGGTTTAGAATCTTCTAAAAATCTCTAAAGTCTTACCAAAGCCATAAAGGAACGATTGAATAATGTTCTCTAATCAGTAAATAAGATGAAAAAAACAATTAATTATTCGTAGCATCGGTAACAATGATAATGTATACAATGTCTTTTGAAGTTAGTGTTGAGCAATGTTATTGATCACTGTTGACAAACATAATTTTAATAAATATTGATGATTTCAATGAAATTATAAGAAAAATGCAATAGTTAAATTGTTATGATATTACATTGTATTAGTATAAAAATAGGCAAAGTGTTCCATCATTTTATCTTACATTATAATTTCATAATCTAATTTTTAATGCATCTGTATAATACCTGAGAGTGTTTGCATAAATAACTGCAAATCCAAAATTCTCTTGACCATTCAAAAAATACTGAATTTCTGAAATAGATGGACATGTCTCTTTTTACTCCTTGTAGCATTAAGTAAACGAAAAGCAGCAGTTTGTATTACACTTCGACACGTGTCTGGTCGTGTATACCTGAAAAAAATCATACAATTTAATTAACGGCAAGAAAAAACAGAAATTAATTGTATGTTATGCAACTGTTGTAATAGTACAATATGGTAGTAGAATCAATGAATATATAGATACAATGTAAGGTAATTTATAAAATTTTAATTTCATGAAAACAAAAGAATTGTTACTTGTTAGCAAACAATTTTTTGAAATATAAGCTTCAAAATAATTATAAGTTATCTTAATTTGCAACAAAACCCTATATATAAAGTATTTCTTTATTAACTTTATTAACTACACAAACAAGGATTTTATGATAACTGTCACGGAAATATAACAACCATAAAAATTATCACCTATTTTTAATTGGTATTCGGAACGGTTTTTCTTATTGCTTGTCTAAAGCAATTTTCGGTTTGCTCGATCCAGGACGAATGCTTTCTTAAACAATGGTCTTTGACACGTGTTTGTTCTCTTATAACACCTGTGATCTGATTATAGTTACTAGGTGACGTAAACTTGATTTACTTACGTATCGAGCAAATATTGCATACATGGCAAAACGAAAATGAGTTTCATGATAACGATCGCAGAATAAAATGGTCTTTAGGAAACTGTATCGTATATTCGAATTAACGGGAGTATACACCATAAATCATATTTTTCTCTGATAATACATTAAATTTCGAAGAAGATATGCGCCTATTTTACCGAAAACTGCCACACAGAATAATATAAACTTTAAGTAATGGTAAAAACTTCATGTTTATTTAAGTTTGTCATCTTAAAATATCGTCTGCTGTTTTCGTGCAATGGCTTCGCTTCTGTGACTTAATTGTTGTATGCATATACATATATACATAACTTGTTCGACAATGCTTATATCTGACATTATTTATTACAATTTTATTTGTATGATATTTTAATTTATGGTTAATATATACACATTTTTATTCATTGAACATTTTCAATTGGATGATACAACAGCGTATTACAACGTACATACGTACATAATGTGTTTAGAGTTTAGAATTTGTCAGAGTTAGTCAATGATCTGAGATTTTTTTTGCACATACACAGTATATGTACATATCTTTTGTTTTTGTTTTTTTCAGTCGATGATATGACAAGTCAAGAAATGTTGAGGTTTCTGTATATGTATAGCACATTCTAAAATTAAAAATAATATTGAAGTTATTTGACGTTAACTATTTAAGAGAAAAAAAAGAGTTGTCTAATGACATTGGTGTGTGAAGAAAAATACATTGTCATTGACATAACATTAATAAAATTACTGCAATGACAGCTTATTATTATTTCGTAATCGTTGGTCATGCCGATAACCCCTTATTCGAAATAGAATTTAACAATTCTGGGAAGGATGCAAAGGTTTGTTATATTCGTAGGTTATGATTAAGTAATTTATAAACATGTGTATTTAGTTGTTCATATAAGAAATGTCATAAAAACATAATTGCATTTTACCTAGACAATATAATATAATTTCATATAACTCACTTGTTTACATGTTTTTGCCTGTAGACAATATCCACCGATATAAACTAATTATATTTTCTTTATCTTTTCATAGAAAGAAGATTACTCGCATTTGAACCAATTCATCGCACATTCTGCATTAGATCTTGTAGATGAACATACATGGAAAACTACAAATATGCATTTAAAAATTGTGGATAAATTCAATCAATGGTTTGTAAGTGCTTTTGTTACCGCCACTCACATTAGATTCATTATGGTACATGATAGCAAGAATGAAGATGGCATAAAAAATTTCTTCAATGAAATGTATGAAACATACATAAAAGTAAGAAGTTATGTTATATTTATCTTGTTATGTGTCTAGACAGTATTGTATCGTAACTTGTTACCTCCGATCGTAATTATTAACACATGTATTTCTTTCTTCCAGTATTCTATGAATCCGTTCTACAAACTAAACACACCAATTAAGTCGATCGGTTTTGAAAAAAAGGCCCAACTGTATGGCAGGAAATACTTATCGTCATAAGTCCTATGAAGTATTAATAATGTTATTTATTGCTACATATTATACATTAATCTTGTTTTAAAGAATAAGTTTTAGCTATACATGTAAGCTAGATCTGGAATTTTGTTAATAATGAAATATAATACAGTACATACAATACAAAATATTTTGTTGGTTTTTAATTTTTTTTATATAATAAAAGAGTAATTGGTTCCATAATCACTTTTCTTCCTTAAAATAAAGTTTGCATTTAATACTGGCATTGTTTGAAAAATAAGTTTCGGTGCACATGCGTACATCGAATACCTACCGTCGATAGAAGTTCTAGACTCTACTAAATCCCCGAGGCATATAAATGCGTGCACATCGGCGCATGTATAATGTGTATAGAAACGTGTATACGTATATTTACACCGGTGATCCGGTGTCACCGTATTCAAACAAAAAGTTTATAGAAAATACCTTAATTATTAACACTGTATATTTAATATCGTCGAAATCGTGCTTAAAAAGTTTGTGGTTAAATATGTAGAATTAAAAAAAGTCATTTTAGCGTGGCACAAATATGTATGTATAACTGTATTTTGATTTTTTTGCGAGTGTTCTAAATTATTTGTATCGGTAATTTCAAAATTACATAAATTACCTAATTGATACTCTTTTTGGAAATAATGTCTATTATACATATTGTACATATAGTACTTTCTTTTCTATACCTTGGGACGAGCGATACGAGCATTTTAGGTAAGCTATATTGTTCATTAAGTTTTATAAACGCTTTATAAGTACAATATGAATGATTTACCTCTTTTTGCAGCGCCTCGTGATACAACATTTATTTTGTTAAGTCAAAAAGAAGGTTACCATGCTGCACATGCTAATCTTTTGAAAGAAAATATAATTGAACAAGCTAATATCCTTGATGAGGTATGCATAAACTATTATTTATTATAATTAATTTAAAGAAAGTTAGTACTATGTTTTTATTGTATTAGGATCCTCCTGAAATAGTTTTATCTCATGAATTGAATATCAATGGATCATGGACGATAATACCACTATTGGAATATTTATTAAATACGTATCCAACTTCTAAGTGGTTTTTCTTTTGCCTGGAAAATACTGCAATTAGATTAAATAAACTATTAAATGTTTTATCTAAGTATAAAGAAGATAAGGTATGATTTATGATATAACAAAAAAGTAGACTATATGTATAAATTATTACTTTATAAACTCTTTATTATAGAATTTATGGATTGGTCATGCACTATATGATCATGAACCGACAATTATACACCATTTTGCAGAGCACAATAAGAAATTTAAATATCCACATGTAGCTTCAGGCTTCGCAATAACATTAGCCTTAATGACTAGGTATCTTATTTGAATGTTTAATCGTGAATCTATACTTTTATAAATCTTGTTAAGTAACATGTATAAATTGTATTTTTCTTTTTCAGTCTAGTACAAAAACTTATCGTAGGGGAGGGACCCAAGGATGACTTTACAATTGATGCATCCTATGAATTTGCATCATTTGTTCTTCGTGTTGACAAGGGAGTGAGGTTGACACATGAATCTAATATATGCATTGTATCAAGTTCTGACTGTGCCACTTATCCAAGATTTTTTCATTCTTGCGTAAGTTAATGTGGTTTTATTTATGAATTTCTTGCTTTACGTTTCATAGAATATTATTGAATAAGGCACTAATCGGTTTATCATATACTAATAGCGTTTTAAATGAATAAAGGATTCATCTGTGTCTTCCAAAAATGCGTATTTTGCTGTAAAAACATGCACAAAGTATCATGTTGAAAGAATTCCTGCGATTAAGAAGACATGGGCAAAACATGTTGAAAACGTTGGTTACTTCAGTGATGCTGCTGGTACGATCAGTTATAAAATATGTTACTTGTATGCGCTGGTTATTGTGTAATATTTGCGTAATATTCGCGCTTCTCGTGTGTAGATAAACATTTACCAGAGGCTTTTATCGTACCAAACACAACACGCGGACATTGTGGCAAGACTTACAATATTTTAGTAGAAGCAGACAAAATACTGCAGAAAAACAATTTGAATTGGCTTGTAATTAGCGATGATGATACGATATTCAGGTAAATGATTTTCATCGCGCATACATACATTCCATTGATACGTGTTATATTATCATGATATTATTTATTTCAATTAGCGTAGCGCGTTTGATGGGTTTGTTAACATGCTATAATCCCAAAAGTCTGCTTGCAATTGGAGAAAGATATGGTTTCCGTCTATGGGACAATCTTTATGGGTACGAGTACTTAACAGGTGGTGCTGGGCTTGTTTTATCTAAGTCTTTAGTTCATGAGATGATAAAACCAGGAAGGTGCGATTGCCCATCACCTACAACTCCCGATGATATGTATCTCTTCGGTGCATGTCTGGCACGAATTGGAATACAACCTGTTCATTCATCGTTATTTCACCAAGTATGAAATATGTATTACTAGATGATGTGATTATTTTGCGCTTCACCTTATCAGTGCTACTATACTGGTAGTGATAAACCTCATATTGTGATTAGCAAGTAGAGCACTAGACTATATGTCGATTGTAATCACTGATCATGAATCATTTCTCGATCTTCTTAAAAATCCCAATGTATTTGTTCTAGGCACGCCCGTCTGATTATGCAACTGCCTATCTCGCTTCTCAGGAACCTATATCTTTTCATAAGTTCTGGATGATCGAACCACAAATGGTTTATGATGAATGGTTCGCAGAAGCTGATAAGTCCCTAATTACATTTAAAAGACATACCGAACTATAATTTCAGTATGTATCAAATATTTTACTACTACCTAATAATGTCCTAACCGTAGAAATTGAAAGAAGTCATAAACAAATTAATTCTGTCAGGATCTCTATGATATGTTTTTAAATGAATAAGATTTTATATAAATCATTGTAGACTACCGTATTTTGTAAGAATATCATATAAAATTTTTTTATTTCTTTAATATATATACATGTATATGTATCTATATCTATATCTATGTATACATATACATACACACACACACATATATATATATATATAAATATACATACGTATAATAAAAAATTTGTTACATATATACATATCACAATTTTGATCGTGTTATTTCGTTCCACCATGTAGGCCGATCGAAGTTTTCTTTCTTCTTAAATATCCACTCTTTGATATGTTTATATACCTGTGTACAAAACAACATTGTAAAGAAGAAGAAAATTACAAGAGGTAAGAGAAATGCTATGACATACTTCTCCATCTGCCATTCCTAATGGTGAATTTATGACAAAATCTGGTGGTGCTAAAACATCTGCTAGAGTTACAGCATCATCAACTAATTCTTCGCACAACATTATAATGCCATTTCGCAGCAAGTTATCCATGTTACTCGTAGACGTTGCATAACCACCAGCATAAAAATCTCCTAATCTTTTTTCTAAAGTAACAGCTCCATAAAGTGAGCATAACTTTGTTAATACATTACGTTCTTCAGATCTCCACGAAGGATCGTTAATACGTTCGATAAAGTATTTCATTATAGCATGCTGCAAAAGAAATGTCATTGAGATTATTATAAATTAATTAACTTTTTGTCGTTAAAGATACTTGGCACTACCTGTCCATATAAGAGAGACATGGTTTGTGCATAAAACACTTGTATATTATTTCTAATTTCGAAATCACCGCAACCGTTGCTTTTGAAATATTGTGTCCTATTATAAGTTCTTTCCAAGTAGTAGCAAAGTAACCATTGGAAGGATAGGAGTAAATCTATAAGCAATAAACTATAAATCGACTGGACAAAGAGGTTTACAGATATAATTCCACAAGGTTGCTTTCATACTTTCTATTTTTAATGTATCTTGAACCGTCGAGTGCTGAAACTTTTGCATTAAAATATTGTTGGCATCGTTTATAAAATATGCAGTTCCAAGAGGAGATTCAACAGTCTTTCCATTAAGCATATTCGACCATTGGTTCAATAACCAATTACTGGCTTGCTGAATTAGTACATTATTTTCACCCTCGTACGTACAATTTGCATCATTTTCAGATCTTAATTCGCCCAAGCGTGACACTATTAAGAAATAAATATTAGGTGATGTAAATAAATCGATCAATCTTCCATATATACCTGCTTCATATGTTACATACTTTTTAGATAGCCGTGACCTCCGCAGGACTCGCGACAATTTTGAATAATATCTCGACAAGTCCACGAGGAGACTGGTTTACTTGCACAAGATAATGCATGTATCTCCATACCTTGGGTATCAATTTTATCCTCGTTCATAGAATTCGTTAAATTAATTTGAAACTCAGACATCTGATGCACAAACGTGGACGAGAAGATCTTTATTGCGTATATTTCTGCCAAGTGAGGGAACAATCGCCATTGCTACGTGTTTTACGATAAGTTTTAAATGTGGAATGATATTTATTTTAAGCGTTTTTTATTCGATTGCTTTAAATACCTGTGCTGGATATTCTATGACCGGCCATTCCTCTGATTCCGACGGTCCAAATTGTTTCCTCACGGCGCAATATCGAATCGCAATCACCATTGCAACAGATGCAATATTCGCGGTTATAGATGTAATTGTAGCACGACCCGATGATAATGCACCCAACGATGCTCCTGCATAATGGTCCAATCGAAACGTTTACCATAAAATTGCAACGCGAGAAAGATTCACTTACCAAATCTTTTGCTTTCGTTTTTCACTTTGTTAATATATTTTCCATCCTCTGTAACAGTTGCCGTTCGATTCAATAAGTATAGCCGAGGAACTGGATAATTATCGAACATCACAAATCCATTGTCAACGCCGTTTAAAGCAATTTTTTCGCCCATATCGCCAACAGTTACACCCGGCAAAGGAAGATGGGTATCTGGATCCCGTATGGGTACAACGAATGGGTGAAGACCGTGATTACGTTTATCAGGCGTGATCAATTGGGCAAAAGTAACAGCATGTGTTGCAGACTTTCCTAAAAGTACACAAGTTATCTTCATTTGTTATCCGCTAGAAAGTATTATGTATTTGCTGTTTACCTAAACCCCCAGCCCAACACTTTGCAGCCTCGAAGTCTGGGGTATGCATGATGAAGCTTTTTAATTGCGGATCGTATGTTGCCGTGGTTCTCATGCCCTTTGCATTTGTTCCATGAGATATTTCTGTTAGCGCAAAACAGCTTGTGTACTATTAAGAATAATTGTGTTAATGCAAATTCAAGTAACATTTGTGCGATGTATGTGTTAGCTATAACCTTCGGATTACTTTTTATACAAATTATGTTCATTGTGTACTTACGTGACCATCCTGTAGTTTCTCCGCAATGTCGTAATGATCTTCTGTACCTAAAGCATAAATTGCAGACGGTACCATGCCTAGCATTACACCCATTTTTATGGGAATTGAGGCATCGTACTGGAACATCACGTTAAACCAGTGCCTATGTCTCAATGGATCCTGTTAAGAAAATGGAATATTAATCATATTATTATTAGCCTTTGCAACAATCCCAAGTAGTATTTACCGCAATGCTATTAGCAGTTATTTCCTGAAGACGAGCATTACATATTCTTCGCTCCTCGTCCAACGTCTGCGGCGTGAGTCTGTCGAACGCAGGCGTCTTTTGCATGAAGTCCCATAAATTGTTCTACAAGATAACGAAAAATCTTGGATCAATCGAAAAAATCGAACTTCGCGAAGAAAACTAGTATCAACTTGTCTTTACCTGAAACTCCACGTAGTCTTCTCCATCTAAGTTCAGTTTTAGTAACTTCCAATTAAATGTTGCGCGTTTCCTGTAGGAGTCCAGCGGGCCTCGTGGCATGTCAGCGATTAAATTCGTCATTTTTGCCGAAGTCATGGACATGAATCGGATCACCTGTTTGTTCAAATGATTGCTAAGTACTGAAAGCTAAGGACGCGACGTATGATTAACGACGTTACCGTTGAGCTTGTGTTTATCATTACTTATATAAAATGTAAATGGGAATATGCTTCCGATAAAAATCGTTCCCCTCGCTGGGTGACGAGTGGACTTCGGTAGATATTGGCTCGATATAATATAGGTTCTATATTCGATTGTCGAGCCAATGTAACTTTCATGAAGCTCTGATTGCTTCTGCATAATGCATCGGTAACAGATCGACCTCGTGACACTTTAATGTCCATTCGAAGAATACGAAACGTTAAGTTCCATACAACTTCGCATGTACCGTTATTGTTACTTTGCACGAATTTATCGTGCGTCATTTAACCCACATAACGTTATTTATATAATTTGATACGTTACGTAATATCCGTATGTACATATACGTAGATTAAAGATAGCGATTAGGAAATTTGAAAAAACTTATCAGTTCGTTAATATCTTTTCTGAAAAAACATCGCTATCTTTGGACGATCATTTATTATCTTGAATATATTAGTTTTAAATTTCAGTAAATTTTCATTGTTCTTACGACTTTATTTTAAGTATATCTATGCACATACATATGGCATCACGTTTAAGCTTTAACGAAAAGCTTGTACCGACGAACTACATTATTGTAGAAATATTGTACACGTGAAAATAACATCACAACCTGGAAAGTAGATTTCTATCATTTGCATGTCTCTGTATAAATTACATTATTATTCATTGGTTCTCGGATCTTTTGTTTTTGCTAGATATTGTTTTTTCACACGACTGTTGATAGGTGTATGGTTTTAAAAATACTCTTATAAAATGCACAGCATGCTGAATCGTTTTACAGACTGAAAGCAAAATGAGTTTGACCCTAACTACAGTTTGTCAATATATCGTAGTATCGGTAACTCGTATTTCCATTATTGATGCCTTAATTTCCTCCACAAATTAGATAATTAAATATTCAATTCTACCCCCTCATTCTGGCAATCCGTAATCGACTGCTAATCGGTGATCTAGCTACTTTAACCGAGAGCTTGTTAAAATCAGAAAGAGATGCTTCTCATTTTGTTCTTCAAAATCGCTCTCGTGGCTGGCAGAAAGTAATAATTATTTATAAATTGTATACTTTTTGGTATATAAAAAAAAGTACGGAAATGTATATAAATTTAAATCAGTGAATCACAACGCGCCGCTTTTTACGTACGACTGTGCCGTCTATTTCTTTTTTTTTTATAAAAATATTAGAGAAATTCCGTTATATAAAAAGATGTATATGTTAAAAAGAAAAATATAATTTAAATATAACTTTGCACATCTAATAAATGATTTTATGAGAGAGAAAATTCAAATTTCTTCTTATCAACCTGTGTATATAATTTCGCAGTGGACTTTATAAGGAATATGTAGGTCAGACGGGTGACGAAAACTTGAGATTACTAATTGGGAAGATTGTTGAAGAGCTTGTGGAACAAACGAATTGTATTGTGTTTGTCACCGATACCGTTTATCGAACATTCATAGATACCGTGCATGTTCAAAGATCATCGATCGTATCAATGTACGAGGTGAGATAATAAATGCAGCCTTTTTCAATTTTTTCTACGATATTTTTATTATCATAGATAGCGTTACGAGATAACGAACAATTCTCACGACCAAGGAAACAGATTCAAAGAATTCTGACCGATAGTAAAGCAATTGGTTGTAATGCATACATTATGCTGATTGCTAATGCATTTGTAACAATCGAATTCTTGAAATATACAGAAAAGTGAGTAGACGATGATAATTAGATTGCGGATGTTTATACAGATACATATATGCAAAACGTACATATGTAGTGTATGCATAAGAAATATATATATCTCCGTATATATCTATAAAATATTAATTATTTTATTGTTTTATTTACCATAATTTGCATTACGGTGTATTACAATGATTTTTTTTTTATATTGTCAATTGCGAAGTGGTGCCACTTATCTGACAAACTTAATTTATATGCTGAAAAGAAGTGTTCTTCTCCATAACATCATGTAACGTAGAACGCCCCTTTTCAGTGTATAAATCAATTTTGTCATATAATGAGGCACCACTCCACAAGTGATAATATAGGAAAAATCATTATAATATACTGTAACGTAGATTACAATAAATAAAACAATAAAATTATTAACATTTACATATTTACACATTTACATATCATATCTGTATAAATATCCGCCGTTTACTAATCAGCTAATTGTAAGCGTTAGTTTCAGCATTGTACAATTGATAAGCGTACAAGTGATAATTGTACAAGTGATAAACGTAATTTTGTGATAATTTTATTCTGTTTTAACCATTTCTAGCGAACGTCTAATCAACACACATGGATCATTTATGTTTCTGTATGATCAGCGCTTGTTCCAACCAGATTTATACTATCTATGGAATAAAATAATTAATGTAGTCTTCGTACGTCGATATAATGCATATAAACACCGTTCTGGTGGCAAAACATTTGAAAAAAACATCGATCTGTACACTGTCTACTTTCCTTCAAGAGGTAGGAGACACTCTTCTATTAAATATCTAGACACTTGGTACCATAATAAATTGCGTTATGGTGTGAATCATTTTACAAAAACAACTTTAAATCTGCAGAAGAGACACCTGAGGTTGGTGCAATAAGTATAATCATCGTTATCATTGCAGTATGAAGCGATACTATTTTTACTCTTAATTTCAGAGTTGCTGTTTTTGAGCACATTCCATCGGTAACAAAAAAATCGAGAACTTATTATAATAAAAGGCCAAACGGTAATACAGAAGCTTTAGGAATAGAATTTGAAGTATGTATTAGATGAACAGTTTATTGGCATACAATTGTATCGATATTACATTTCAGTTAATACAGACTATATCAAAAGCTATGAATTTCAAACCAGAATACTATATGCCTCGCAACATTACGATCGAGAGATGGGGAACATCCGATGGGGCTAATGAAACCACAGGCCTTATAAATGAAGCCATGCAAAGAAAAGCTGCATTTTATTTGGGCGATTTGCATTATACGTTACATCATTTAAATTATTTTGATTTGAGTATTCCATATAATACAGAATGCCTCACTTTTCTAACACCAGAATCTTTAACAGAAAATTCATGGAAACTTTTAATACTTCCTTTTAAGTAAGTGCAATTAGAAACAGATATAACCAGCACATAAAAGATGTATTAATTTGAATTTCTAGGCTTTATACCTGGATCGTGCTACTTTTAACTTTAGTCTTGGGAGGTATCGCATTTCATGTCATATCAGTATCTTACAGAAGACACATAAGTTTATACAAAAATCAGATGCATATTCAAATTGCGACCATGGATAAAGAAGTAGATGGTTTATATTTGTTTACTGAAATACAGAACAGTCTATTATATACTTATGGTATGCTGCTACAAGTTTCATTACCAAATTTGCCCAATCCATGGGCTTTAAGAGTATTTATTGGATCATGGTGGATTTATAGCATTCTAGTCGCAGTTGCCTATCGAGGTAGCATGACTGCAACTCTTGCTAATCCATTTGCCAGGTAAATGTCAATACCTCGTTAGAATTTACTACTATTAAGAATTTGTTTATTAACAGTCGATGTCGTGATTTGAATTCAGAATTACTATTGACTCGTTAGCACAATTAGCCAAGAGTTCTATAGAAGTTGGAGGTTGGAATAAAGAAGATAAAGAGTTTTTCTTGATATCATCAGATTCCAATAGCCAAGAAATTGGTAAGAAGTTCCGATTGATCGTAAACGAAGAAGAAGCTATTGAAAGAGTAGCGAATGGATCTTTTTGTTACTATGAAAATTCTTACTTCCTTCGCAATGCTCGTGTTAAAAAGCAAGTATGCGATAAAGAACAAATGAGCAAAGGAATCTCAAAAGATATAGCATCGAAGCACAATTTGCATATAATGGAAGAGTGTGCAGTAAATATGCCCATAGCGCTTGGTATGGAGAAAAATTCACCATTGAAACCACGTGTTAATACTTTGGTATGGTTTATTCTTCGTGTTAAATATTATAATACTTTATAGAAAATATTAACAGCGATATTTCTAGATAAGACGCATTATAGAAACTGGATTAGTTGAAAAATGGTTGAGCGATGTTATGGAGTGGTCGAAAATCACAGAAATACGACAAGAAACTGAATCTGAAAAGGCAGTTGTTAATCTTCATAAATTACAAGGTGCTTTTATTGCTATTACAATTGGTTATTGTTTAGCTTTCATGGTATTAATAGGAGAAATTTTATATTGGAAGTATGTTACTTTGAAAGATCCAGAATTTGATAAGTATCATCTGGATACATTTTACAGTACTTCTAATAATGTTAAAATATAAATAATCGATTTGACTACGAATTTAAACGAAAAGAGCAATATTGTTCTCATTTACAATCATTTATTTCTAACCATTTGTAACATATGCATATGTATGTCAATGTAAGTGACGTTTGGTTACAGACGTATCGGTAGTTAATATAGTATATATTATAGAAAATAATGTATACACGTATACGTAAACATAGACGAATTAATGAATGATATAGAATATAATAAAACGATGAGACGTACCATAAGTAAAAATAGAGAGTTTAAATAAATTCTTTTCCAGTTTTTTCGCACACAATCGTTAGGTCACTGCTTCGTATTCATTTCACTGCTTTCTCTCTCTTTCTTGTAATATTATCTTCACCGCTATACACGTCATTGTAGTATACATACTTATTTCTTTTCATCCTAGTGTACTTAGCAAGTGTAATTTTGTACATATGTAAAATCTTGCTGCATATTTCATGGTAACTTTATCTTTATTACAATTATGTATATATTTATACTTTGTGTCTTACTTTATTATAATCTTTAATCTACACGCATTCGCTCTCGCGCTTGCTCTTATTCATTATTTTCTATTCTGCTTCGTCATACATACGTATGTACATGCAATGTCATTCTCTTCGTGGCTTACATGAATTGCATGTGTGAGTAGAGATATTCGATTCCGATTCAATTTTTTGTTGTAATAATCGAATATTGATTTTTGCCTTCTAGGAGAATTAATTAAATAAAGAAACAATCGAACAAATTTTCTTGGTCTTATATATTTCCCGAAATTTATACATGATTCTTATGTTTACAATTTGTACAAACGTTATTTTTACATCAACTCTTTAGTTTTTTAGAGGAATCGATTCTTATATATACAATCATGGTAACGGGACACACTCTTGCACGCTTTTCTTACTCCCTAAGCTGGCGCGCACATTCCCGCCATTTTACCGAGCATCCAATTAGCAGTGGATCCTGTCTCGGTAGTGAATCGTCAGCCAATCAGAGCAAAGAAAATTTTTATACAAAATCTCGCTTGCGGAACAAGCTGTGGCCTGAAGGTGTGCAATTAGCAATGGCGTCGCTTTGATACAAAAGTAATGCAAATAAAAAAGGAGTGTTTAGATTTTATTGGTAGAAAGCATACAAAGATCCGTACAAACAATCTGGAGTTATTTTCTTCCTAGAGTGCATGTATGATCAAGTATTTATCAAACTTGTTTTTTCCCTGCTGTATATATTATAATAATTATAAATTTTAGATAAAATCTTCCAAGGATACTAATGATGAACCAACATTGAATTCAATGGAAGATGTTTATAAAGAATGTAATCTGTTCGCACACAATGTCCAGTTATGCCTTCCGATTATACTGGATCATCGATAGAACGCATCTTTGGAACAACAGTAAATCCTTTGGTGTTAAAGCTCAACAAATTATATAACACAACAAGTGATTTGTACGAAAATGGAAAACATGTCAGTTGATTCTGAGACTCGAGCATCACCACCATTAATAATAATAACATTAAATGTACGGACCTCATTAAATTCTAAATCTCAACAAAATGAAATAGGTCACGGTATTAATATCAGAATCTGAATCAGTATAATATAATTCTAATTTCTCTTCTTCAGTATTGCTATTTTTTACTTTGTCCTCCACTTGTATTTCCACATCTTCATCTTTGTTCTTCCAATTTTCTTCTTTGTTCTTCCAAATTCCTCAGTATTTTTTCTTCTACAGCCTCCTATACACAAAAAGATTTTAATAGTCATTAGTTGAAAAATATTGTATGTCTACATTTTTGTCTGGCACATAAAAATCAGCTAATGAAGTATGAAAATCCCCAGCTTAACTGACACTGTAACCTATCGTTTTGTATACACGTGGAGCAGTTCTTAACCCATTTGCATCATTGCGCGGAATATTCCGCGAACCGCGACAGTCGACTATCACCAAGCGCGGATTATTCCACGAGCTGCGACTGTCAGCTATCACCAAGCGCGGAATATATCGCGAAGCTCGACAGTCGACTATCACCAAGCGCGGAATATTCCGCTAGCTTACGTTGTCTTTTTTGTATTTAGTCGGAAAATATCTTTTAGTTGGGACAGATCACGTTTAATCATTTGTGAGAGCGTTTCAGTTCATTCAGTTTAATATACATCATTCTAAAAAAGTTTTACTTTTTCTGTGAAAATCTTTCAAACTGTCACTATGAGTAAGTGCTTTCAATCTATATTTAAATTCAAGAAATCCGAGTTTCGAAAATTATCTTATTTTATAATATATAATTTAAAATTTAGTTGCCCCAATGGATTTTGAGTATCCTGATTCGGATTCAAGTATTGACGAGGTACGACGTCCTAGAAAACGTTGCCAGAGGATTTCGTCAAGTTCTGATAAGGAAAATGAACAGTGCGATAGTTTTATAAATGAAGAGTACGTGTGGAAAGCCGAAAATCATACTCCCATTATACATCCTTTTTCAAGTGCGGGTGGTGCAACCGTAAATACACAAGGTCTGTCTAGAAGGGAGGTTTTTGAACTATTTTTTAACAAGGAGTTGATTACAAAAATAATTACCGAAACGAATAAATATGGAGCAAGTGACGCAGACTTTATACCTCTTGAAGAGAACGAATTAAAAATATTTATTGCCTTAAATATTTTAATGAGCCTAATTTCCAAGCCCACGATTCAAAGCTATTGGTCGGCAGATAAAAGTATAGAAACTCCGTATTTTAAGAATATCATGAGCCGTAACCGATTTATTTCTATCTCCCAAAATTTACACTTTTCCAGTACAGATAATCCTAATGATGCACTGACTAAAATTCGAGAAGTTACTGAAATTGTAAAGAAAACTTTCATTCGCATGTATGTCCCAAATAAAAACATTTCCATTGATGAATCACTAATGGCATCTAGAAGTCGTTTACATTACATACAATTTATTCGAACAAAACGTGCGAGATTCGGTGTCAAGTTTTATAAACTTTGTGATTCACAATCGCGATACATACATAATTTCAATATATATACAGGAAACGATAAAACTGATACAGGATCTGCTACCAGAAATGTTGTAGCCAATTTGTTAAAAGAGAGTCAATTATTGCACAAGGGGTATTGCTTATTCCTTGATAACTGGTACAGTTCACCAACATTGTATCGAGAATTATTTAACATGAAAACAAATGTATGTGGTACAGCGAGAATAAATAGGAAAGGGATGCCACCAGAATTAAAATCACACCTACTACAAAAGGGGGAAGCTGTTATATTTAGTACAAAAGAGATAGCGGCGATAAAGTGGAAGGACAAAAAAGATGTCGTTATGCTAACTACTATGCATGATTTAAATTTTGCTGAAACAGGGAAACGAAGTCGATATACTGGAGAAAAGAGTTTGAAACCAACCGCAGTAGCAGATTACAATAAATATATGGGTGGAGTTGATGTTGGTGATCAGATGTTCAAATTTCGTACTATTCGACGATGTAAAAAAGCCTATAAAAAAATATTTTTTTATTTTATTGGCATGATGTTGCTGAACAGTTATATAATTTTTAAAAATAATAAGAAAGATCGAGCGTTTCATGTGTTTAAACAGTTATTATCAGAAGAAATTATTGATAAATTTTTACCCAACATAAATGTAAATAAGGCATCTGTCAATGATACCATTATGCGATTTACTGGCAGGCATTTTCCTGTACGGATACCTGCAACTCCAGCAAAGGGGAATAAAACTTCAAAACGATGCGTTCTATGCTTAAGTAAGTCAATTCGACGGGAGACAGTCTTTAAATGCCATGTTTGTGATAAAGCATTATGTATTGACCACTTTAAAGAATTTCACGAACGTTAATTTATTAATATGCTCATTTAACTTAAATAAATTTATTTTATTATAAAAAATATTTGTTTTTCCTTTTGTATAAAAAAATGTTATCGATGAATAATTTCAATGCGCGTTACTGCACATACGATCGACCGCGCGTGGTGATAAGATTCACTCGTCAGTTGAACGTCGCTGATGTTTCGATGCAAATGGATTAAATGATCTGTACTTACTTTCTCTTTTTCCAGTTGATAAGTTAATGCAACTACTTCGGTTATCAGTTGATGGTAAATTTGTGCGATCTCCTGTTTGCTTGGTAAACTCAGCAACTATAAATCCGATATCATGAATATCACATAAAATACATTTTGATACATACGGTGACCCTTATTTATATTTGGACATCGACAATGACTAAAATACTTTCTTTCAATTTTGTTGTTACTTTTTTTATCATCCGAAGCAATAGCAAAACTGAAAAAAGCATTCTAGTAATTGTTTATTAGACAAACACTACTATTATTTAAAAAAAATTTAAGTCGTTTCGTACAGTTTTAAAACAGTTATTCTGTTTTAATAGGTGTGTCCGAATATTAATAAGAGTCATTGTATGTTAAATTACTGTTTGAATACATGTAAATTACACTAAATTACCATATTTTATGTTCTCAGGATGCGATTTTTGTATTACTAAATCACATGGTAGGGCAACCAATCTTCTCAACTATCTTTTGTTTGTCATTTCGTATGCTACAGTAACGGGAAGCCTACAACTGCAGGCTTTTTTTACTGCCTAGCACATATATACCCCACCATTTTAGCGTGTATCCAATCCGCAGTGAATCCTCAGCCAATCAGGGCAAAGAAAATTTCTATATGGACCTTCGCAAACGGATCAAGCTGCGGCCTGGAGGTGTTTGCTTCATGTATGCACATGGTTAGTGAGGAGTGGGAATTTGAAAATATGACGTCACGGCAAAGAGATCGTGTCATTGGTCGTTACCGTTGGTCGTCGTCAAGCATCAAGCGGGCGATGTGACTGGTCGTAATGTTTCACGACTGTTTACGACATTGTCCGTTATTGTAGACAGATCCAACCGCAGTCTCAGATTGCAGATTGTTACAAATTCGTACAGATTGTAATTGCAGAGGGAACGCAATAATGTATCCACATAGGTTATGTGGATGTCAGTGATGCCTCTCAATATTTTTAAACAAATACAATTGACACTTTATAAATTATGTCAACAAGAAGATTTTTTTATCCAAGCATACGTTGAGGATGGATTTTGGATTTTATGAACTTGATCATTCAACATGAATGTTTGTTAGTACGGTAGAAATTTATTTACTAGTAGTTGTAACTTGTATTGGCATAGAATAGAAATACATTTTAACATTGTTTAATCGAAATAGGAAAATGATGTCGGTAACAGTGGTGAATGATACAGACAACAAGGGACAAGAAGATCCTATTAGATGTATATTTTTCTCAGAATTTCATCATATTGCCGGTCCAAAAATTACTTGTCAGGTTAGCAACTTTCGCGTATTACCGATTTTGGTTGAATCGTAAGTAATACAAACGTGATGCGATTTAATTTTTTCCAGGTGCCAGATAACTTCATTTCAAAGGACATTTTTGATAATGTCAGCGTATATATCATACCAAAGGCACAATTGCAACGTAGTACTATTACCGTGTAAGTATTGCTTTCGATCGAGAGCATCGATTTATTCGGTTATAAAATTAATGGAAGTTTTCATCGTTTTCACAGAACTTTAAAAGACTACAAGATTCTAGGATTCCCTGTAAAAATTGACGATAAGAAGTACGCAAGAAATGCTTTTTATTTTAATTTATGCTTCGTATGCGACGCAGGAGCTCGTACAGTACACTACGAACCTGTTGTTAAAAAGATGTCCGACTTCTTGGTAAACGCGCGTTTGTTTATAAGGTTCAAAAAAGATCAATGGGAACTTTTGTTACAATCGCTGTTACACTCGCTTCCTCGACTTATACCGTAACTTCGATCTTTCAGATGGCTCTTGAAATAGAAAATTGTTTTTTGTCAGCATCCGACGATAAAACAAGGTTAGCAGAAATGCTTCAACAGGTAATGCAGGATCTAAATATGCACAAAATGTGTACGCTAACAGGTAAAAAGTACTCGAAACCAATACTTTTACCTAGGTATATCAAAAATATGAAGTATAATGTTTTATTAGAGGGGACAATGACGTCCCACTTGAAAGTCATAAAGTTAGCACCTGAGCCGAAACCAGTTCTTGATCATCAGGTACCGATATTCTTCGAAGGCCGCGAAGCATTTCAGAGCGATCAGTGGGATTTGACTACGCAACAAGTGTTGCCTTATATCGATGGATTTAATCACGTTGCACGAATAGCAGCGGAAGCAGACGTAGAGAACAATCTTGTTAAGAGCTGTGTGCAGAATCTTGTGTAAATATTTACGCGCGCAAGAATTCGTCTCGTAGAGTTTACTCGATTCAAGTAATATTATTTCTCTTTCAGATATTACGGCGTGGTAACGTTGATTCCGATATTCCAGTATAGCAACGTTTACGCAGCAACATCGAAATTGAAAGTGTTGGCAGAAAATACCAAGTTACAAGAACGATGTATAGCATACGCATCGAAATTTCGTAAGCTTCGTATCTCCAATGTAAATATTCGGAGAAGCTGGAGAATGCATTTGACAAAACTATGTTTTTCACAGCTAGGCAACCCGCGTATCTCAGGGACATATACAGAATGTACGCGAGCATGACACACGGTAGTAGCATGAGAGACTTATGCCAAAGACTTAATCCTCAGAATCTGAGAATCAACGAAAGAAGGCTGGTACAATTTGGTCTCATCGAAGGCCTCATTCGTAGAGTGTACAAGGTGTAACTTCTCAACCTTGTTATTTTTACCAAAGAAACATTACTATATTTTTATCTTTATACAAATTCGTCACCCTCCTTTTCTCTTTTTTTTTTGATTCCAGTATCCGATATGTCTGCCAGGATTGCCTTGCAGCGACGAGATGAAAAACAATCCCGTGTACAAATATTTCACGGGAACGTATAGCCTCGACGAAATATGTTGCAGTACGGGCCAGTCGGCGGCACAGATAGAAGATATCGTTGAGCGCGATCCGAACGTTGTCATGTTATGGAAATAACGCGAAACAAGCGGTAGCCTATGAACTCCGGAAGCAGAGATATACATAAAAATATACGTGTACTTTTCAATGGATATTCTCGATCATTCGTTTCACTTCGTTTATGTACATATCAGGTACTTTGTTGCTCCTCATCTCGTCACATTTCTTCTCCATCGCTTCCCGCAATTGTTTCTTACGTATTTCAGTCTCCGTGCGAATCGCCAGACCTTCCTCGAACATCTTTTGCCTAGCTTCGATGCGTTTCCTTTCCTTCTCGTTTACCTGTGAACAAAATCCCATTACGGACGCGTTTAGTTTCAAACGTTATTTCCTATTTTCATTCGAGAAACTAAGAAACGGACCTGTTTCAGTATCTCGCTCCTGTGCTTCAAGGCTTGCCGTTGCTTCTTCTCAAGCTCTTTCTGCTCTCGGCAGAAAGCTTCCTTTTGAACGCGCACGATTTTTTCAAACTCGCGCCGCTCTCGTTCGATCTCGATCGCCTGCATTATTCGTTTATTATTGATCTGTTTCTCTCGCTCTTCCGCGAGACTCTTCCGAGCCCGAGCTCGCCCCAGAGCCTCCTCCTTCTCTTTTTGCCTCCATTCTCGTTCCACTTCTTCCTGAATCCGGGCAACGGTTAGCTCCTCTATTCGTGCCTAGAACGAATAAACAATTGACTCGATGTCGAGTTTGAAGTTTCCATAGATTCTCGAAAGCGGTATACTTGCGTGTCCTGATCTCGCAACGTCTGAGACGCAACTTTCGCTTTATCCTCGTCCTTCCTTCGTTTCTCCAGTCTTCGTTCCTCGGCCAGCCTCGCCTCTCTTCCTTGTTTCTCCATTTGGTACTCCCGAATCCTGCAATGAAGCGTGGATCGAATCGCGAAACGGTTCCACGAGACAACGAACATCGTACCTAAGATCAACGATTATATTTTCCTGTTCCTCCATGGCTTTCAGATGTTTCAATTGTTTGTTCCCCTCCGCGATTTCCTGTCGAACTCGGGCGAAATCGGCCTCCCTGTTTTGCAGCTTGGCAATCTCGGATTGCTGCCAGGCGATGTTGCTTAAATTAATCAGTCGGCTTTCCTCCTGCTTCCTAGCAAAATCCAAAAGCCTTTGTTCCTCGTTCTCGCGTATTTGGCCCTTCAGACTGTTCGCGAACTCCAATTTCTTGGCTATCTCCTGTTGCTCCTTTTTCAGCTCTTCTTTGATCGCCCATCTCCTCTCGTTCTCCATCGTGTCGTTCAAACGCTTCTCCTCTTCCTCCAACTCGGTCTCCATCAGTTTTCTCTCCGCTAACTGCAGGGTTAACGCGTTAAAATAATGCCAACGTTTCTCTGTCGCAACGAAATAAATCTGAACTCAAGGTGTTATCTTATCGTTCGTTCACCTGTGCATCGCGTACGGCACGGCACTTCGTTTCCAAAATAATCCTGTTACACTTCTGTATCTCCTCTTCCTGTTCCAGTCTCATATTACGCGCTCGCTCCAGCACGTATCCAGTCCTTTTCCTGGCCTCCTCCTCGATCTCTGCCAGCTCCTCGCTTTTCTCCCGGGGTCTCTCCATGTCCAGCTTACGGAACTCTTCTTTTCTCGCCATGCTTTCCGCCACGAGTCTCTCCCTTTTCTCTGCCTCCGCTTTCAGGGCTTGTTCGCGATCTTCTTCCGGGACAGCGTCGCCGCACATCCGAAATTGTTCGTACTCCTTCCTGGTCAAGACTCTCGGGGCGATCGGCTTCTTTCTCGCGATCGTTTTCATGGTTCCCCGGATCTTGACTCTTCCTTTGGTCGACTGGTTACATGAAAAATAAGATCGTTTGGCGGTGTTGTTTAAAAGCACAAATTGAAAATATACGCGTAAAACGTTAGTTTTTTGATCTTTCTAGAACCGCGTGGTAGTAGAAGCGTTCGTAGTTGTACCAAACATGCGAGATACTCTACCTCTTTTCCGTTGCAAGGGACGCAACCATATTTCGCATGGCCGCCGCTTTTGCATTCGCAGTTGCCGGCTTTTTTCGGTTGACTCGAGCAAAACTTGAGTTTTCCGTTCTGACACTTCGACAACGACGTCGTGCAAACTGTAGCCATTTTCGATCCGTCCACTTTATGCGCCACCGTGTCAATGAAATTCGCACGCTCGTAGCGCAACAAATTGTCCCGCGATTCGGTCGTATCGAATGGTTCGACGTACGCTCGAGAGTACACTTTGTCTGCAAATTAGCCCGACGAAGCACGGTTTCGCAGGAATGTTCGTGCCGTTTATATCGGTGAACAGGCTTTCGTTCACTGGCAGGGAGGAATATCGGTGACCGAGAGACGCGTTAATTGTTTCGAAACGCTAAACGTCGATCGCTTCCTTTGTTTGTTCGATAGCAGTGTTTTAGCACCGCTGACAATGAGATACATTCCGATTGTATTCGGGCACGAAAGCAGATTCTTTTTCCTACGGACGATACCTTTTTTTAATTGCAAGAGAAACAATATTAACAATGTGTCTTGTTTGCAGGAGAAATGGGACATCGTTGAACAAATCTGTTAAGCGAAGCATAAAAGAAATCAATTTCTAATCACCCTGTTCTTGGTTTCATCGATACGGACAATTTTTGATTTAAAAGTCCGGTAATTATTCGCAAAGATGCGCACCCGAGAAACTTTATAGCGCGTTTGTTATTATTAACTATTATCACTATTATCGCTATTAATTCGTATTTTACAAAAGGATTAACTTCGAGTTCAATTTTAGCAAATAACCAGAGCGAAAATATGTTCGATGCTGCAATAGCGTGGCCGATTTTAAAACAACGATACAACGCGTGGATGGGGTGATTCACCCCTTCTGTCCATGGTTACGTACCGTCGCAGACCTTCCCTACAATGTTGGCTTTCCTCAGGTGGGAAAACGCACATGTGGTTGCGCGTCGCTTATCAGCCGACAATAAGTATTTATGTTTCATGCAAAATATAATACACGGGTCGGATGTCGCGGAATAGTTGATAACCTTGGATCCGATTTATCCGCTTCAACTTGAAATTTCAGTTCAATTACGAAAGTATAGAAACGACACGTGCTATATCGATTCGGTTAATACAGCGAATACGGTACAACCTCCGTCGACGAATAATTAATTAGCGAACGCTCTACGGAGATTCTGATTTGTTTTTTTCTTTTTAAACGAAGTCGTATAAAAGTTACGATCGAATGAAAATTTTGCTTATTTCATTATATTTACATTACGCTCCGTATAAACGACTCCGTATTATCGCTCGTTCGATCATATCCAATTCGATGTGTAACATATTTTGTACGCGAATAGTATATTATATAGAATAGTATATAGTATATATAATTATATATAATAGTATATTATATAGAACGAATCTGCGAAAATTATAGAGCAGTCGAGCGAGCGCTAAAATACAGTTACACGATAATTACGAGTTACAGATGTGTGCAAACGTCGATCAATAATATCCTACATTGATTTCGTACGACAAAGTTCGGTACAACGCGGAGAAGTAAAGAAATAAAAAGAACAAGAAAATAAATAAACGAATAAGCACAAATGCGATATAAAAAAAAATAAGTAAGTTTTCTCGCAGTTTAAGAACGCATCTATATATTCGTAAATAGTTTATGCCCGCGTTGTAAATAATTTTGTCCAAAGAAAATTGTATAAAAATCACTTCTCGACAGCTGTTAGATTAAATGCTATCGAGATCGATATGTCCGGATAATAAAATATCAAAGTGCAAAGAGAGAAAAGGAACTATGCGAGAATACTTCTCTGTTACGGCACGAAGAAAAGTAACGTGGTCGTAACGACCACCCGATGATCGCTGCAGCGATCGGCGTATCGCGATCGAGAGGGAAGGGTTGCCGTTTCAAAAGTGGCATGACAAATGCGCGCTACCGAATGGCAGAGGGGAAAGCGAATTCGACGTCCTATTCCCCGGTTGTCTAGCCGGTAAACATTTTTTTATTTATGAGCTGCGCCAAACGAGTGCGTTCTAGTCGGCCAATTGCGAAGGGTTTCCTAAATAAGAAGTTTTCCTGAAGAGGGAACGAGCGCAATCGTGAGCGACGCGCGAGATCCCTCGGTCGCCGCGTTCGCCGCGCCGACTTTATTTTTCGTGCTACAACGATTCGTACCGGCACGATTCGCTTTGCGACACATTGTACGCGCCGACGATCGTTCTCTCGTAAAATTTGCCCGCGAAACTTCTGTGCGGTGTCTTTGCTCCGGTATTCGTTCGAATCGTCGGTCGATAGTCGGAATCGGTAATCGATCTTCAACGATATCTCTGAGCAAACGTAAGTTCTCTTCGATCAACCCCGTTCGACCGCTGAGGAGCTCTCTTCTTATTATGAAAAAGTACGTCAGCAGCCAAACGGTGAAAATGTTGTCCGGATAACGTTTCGCCAACGGAATCGCATGCTTCTCGGTTCGACCGGTGGCGGAATTCTTCTCCCCCGAATTCTTCTCGAACGCGAACCATATTTTCGAACGTCTTCGTACTTTCGACCAGAGCGTTGCTCCAATTTGTCGTGCTCGCGATTATCGCGTTCAGTTCGCTCGGTACCGAAATACCGGTTCCGAATAGCATTTCTCGGTCTTTTTGTAACTGTAGAAACACGTAAAATCGGCTGTATTTATGTATATCGTGTTCAACGACTCGACGAAAGTACGTTTGTCCGAATTGTATTGGTAAATACCTCCGAGCGAACCGAGGATACGCGTGTGCGTGCGCGCGCGAGTGCGTGCGGGGGACACGGTTTTCGGCGAAGTTTCTTCGTGACGAAGAACAGGGACACGCGAACGACGGGAAGCTTGAAAAATCGTTGGCGAACGAGCCGTGCATACGTAGAAAACTGCGAACGGCGTGCACTCGAATCGGAACAATTTTCCATCGATCTGCCCTTTCCCCTTCGGTTTTTCTCTCGGTACGCCTTCGTCGCGGTTCGCACATTCGCCTCGAACATTACCCTGAAACTTTTCCATGCAACAACAGCGACGTAATATCTGCGATCGTCTGGGAAATATTTGCCTCGAAAATGAACGAATCACGAACTATCGTCACGGCCGTCGGGACCAACGCCGGACCCCGTTCACCGTCGAATCCGGAGCGGATCTGTTGATGCGAGGCGATCGAGCGTCGCCGAAGGAGAAAGAGACAGGAAAATGAATAGACGCGATGCGTGCCGAGCGGGAAGCCCTTCGAAGAAGGACAAAGGAAAACCGAGAAAGTGGAAAGCTGCAACGACGTTGTGGGCGCCGAGCAACTGGCCGAAGGTGACGATGTCCCGCGACGATAGAATCTGCGAGAGGGCCGAGACGTTCGCCGAAGTCACCCCGTCTTCTAGCGGGTCGCAGGCGAACGGTCGTAAAGGGGAACAAAAGGGAGAAGATGAAGAGGAGGAAGAGAACAACGAAGAAGGTGACTGCAACGTCGAATATTTCTGTCGCAACGCGAAAGGTAAAGATTTTTGTTTCGTCGTTCAAAATCATTGGAAACGTTCGATTCGGTTGCCGTTTTGCGTTCGATTTTTCAAAGTATCGCGATACGCCCCAAGAGCGATCGTGAAAATCAAAATATATTTCTCGATTAGGATGTCGAAAGGATGTCGATTTTCATGAGACACGGTTGAACGAAAAATTGATCGAATCGTGTTTGAAATATTTCAAATATCAACGAACGAATGCGCCGCGAGGAACGAATTCCGTATCGAAACCTAAACGAATCGAATTATATTTCGAAGAGGAGCGGGGAATCTGCCCGATCACCGGTTCCAGCGTGATTCGGGATGATCCAGGGATCGAAGGAGCCGCGCGCGCGAAGGAAAACGGTTCGAAGAAGATCGGGAAAGGCAACGACCGATCGTCGACGATGGAAACTGCGAAATCGGCCGGCGAAGAAAAGCCGATTTTCGTTGACCTGACGACCGACGAGAAAAAGAAGTGGAAACGGACGATCCTGAAGCGTTCCTACGACCTAAATCCTCCGATCGAGGACGACGAACGAGAAACAGGAGTCCAGAATCTTGCCGCGAGCATCACGATAGGTATAATTAATCGATTCTTCTGCTCGAATCGATCGATCGTCGCGATGCCCCTTGCTCGCAGCTTACAGCGGTTTTCGTCGAGAAACTTGTACCTGCCCTGAAATTCCTTCACAAACGCATACTGGATACGCTCGTAGTCGCGATATCGATTGGAAAAATAAACGGCCGTACGTTGGAACGGAACGTTAAGCTGCTAGGGACCGGAAAATTGATCGAAGCACGGGGCAATCGAGCCTGTTTTTCTTATCCTTATCGAACGGGACTCGACGAACTTTCCGACCCGTTCTCATCGAAACGATCGAGTCGATATTGAATTTTCGTTGCTCGATTTTCGATCTTCGAAAAAGCAAAGTCTTCTTTCGCGAGTCAACTGCGCGTACGTTGGTCCGCAAACTTTCGCAAGAAGCGCGGCCGGATCGCGGTATGCCACATTTTCCCCTTAAAAATCGATACGGGATCGTCTATCGCCGCACAGCGATGTCCCCTAATCGACGCCGAAATTCTGGAGAAAAATGGACAATTTTGGAAGAGCAGATACGATCGTTCGAGCCTCGGCGGTGTTAGTTTCTGTAGTTACCGATTGCCAACAATTATGAAAACGTGCCGCAAGGCCCGTACCTCCTCTTCCCAAATTGTCCATTTGTCTCTAAAATTTCGGCCTCGAGACGTTACCGTACGTACGTGCCACGGTAACGATAAAAGCCGATTATACGCGATCGAAGAGAACGAAACTGGTCGGACAAGGTTTTCCGTTGATAGGGGCTCGTAATTAATATATATTATCGGTTCTTCGATCGACGATACACGCGCATTATATGTATAATCGAAATCTTGCAGCCGATAGCTCGAGTAAAACACGCAACAGTTTGGCAACGGCGCTGCGGGACCGTGGATCATACCTGATTCCGGTGCAGCCTAATCGTTCTCTGCCGATTCGGCCCGCGCCATTGCCGACGCGATTGTTCCGCAAGAACGGCCTTTCGCTGATGGTTCTCTCGAAGCCGAGCAACTTGGATCTCGACGACTCGGAGGAGTCGGTAAAATCGAGCAGCCTAACCACGAGCGAAACAACGCTCGGCAAACGCAACGGAACGGATGCCGGCTCCGAAACGGCGAAGGCGTCGACTTCGGAGGACTCCTCGGTTCCCCAGGATCGCAACAAGGGATCGAAAAGGTTCCGAGAACGATTCGATTGCTTCGAACTCCGTTGTCGCGAGTACCGTGTCGGTTCCGATCGAGACGGTCGCGAAGAACCGGAACGACGCCTCGCAACCGTGTTTCGGAAGACGCGCGTATCGGTTCCGCCGATCGGCCCTCGCGTCTCCGTTTCGCGGCTCTTCGGAACCGATATACGTAACGACGCTTCCGTAACGGTTGCGAGACGTTCGTTCGGCTGCTCGCGAGCGTTTCGAGAGACACGACCGCTTTCAAAAGCCCGGCTCGCAACAGTCGACAGATTTCGATCGAGCCGAGTCACCACGGCGGGGCCAGGAAGAAGAGCATCGACGACAACGGGGATCGGGAGAAAGACCGCGCCGTGCAGAAGAGGAAGAAGAAATCGCACGGGGCGGATTCGAGCCAGGGAGCCAAGGAGAACGGCTCGAGGAGCATCGTCAAGGAATACCTGAGGAACTTTTGCGGCTCGACCGACGACCCTGCTGCGAGAAATCGGAGCACCGGTAAGTGCGCGAACGCGTGCTACTATTGCGAGAAGGACGGCTACAGGAATATGACGGTGCCTCCGTTGAGGCTGAAGAAAATCGTTCGTACGGGTAAGCGGGACAAACGAGATGCTTCCAATCCCATCGGTTACATAGTACTCGACCGCGAACAGGCGAATTTCGCGCCAAGCTTATTCCTGAAACTACCTATAATAAATTCATCCTAATCGACGCGTTCGAATTTATCGAATATAACAAAATAACATGGTACATAACGTACGGCGATAACGTATAGAATTACACGCGTTCGTCGTTGCAGGGACGCGGGAGAGCGACGGTTCGCGTACGGCGGCGGGATCTAGCCACGAGTCGAACTACAAGATCGTCAGGGAGGAGGAGTCTCGTCTACGATCGGGCCCGCATTTTACAAATCGGAACAGCGCGCTCCAGGAAAATGCGACGACCCCGAAGGTCCCGAACAACAACCGGAAAGTGAAATATCGGCGGAACAAGCTGAAGCAGAAGCTCGCAGAGTTGAAAAGCAAGGTCCTCGATCTGGCCAAGGTGATGGCCGACGACACCAGCTCGCAGCAAAACACCAGGCTGAAACAGATAATGAATCGATACGAGAAGCAGATCGAGAATCTGTCGAAAATGCGCGACAAACTGTCCGCGACGCTTCCAGCTTCCGAGGAAGGCGAACCCGGGTGTTCGTCGAACGTCGACCATCTTCCCGCCGGATCGAATCGAGACGGACCCTCGGAAAACGAATTTCCGATCTCGTCTTCTCCGGAGCCACCGAAACTCTCTCCCCGATCTTCGACGAGTTTCGAGAATATACCGCCCGAAGAGATCAGGAACAGTCCTCCCATCTTGCCCAGAGTGTGCCTGAACGTCTCCTCGTCGAGCCAGGACGAGGAGTTTCTGGTATCCGACTCCTCGACCTGGTCCGCGTGCGAGGAACCGATCGATCGGTCGTTCTCCGCCGACTCCGACCGATCCGATCGTCCAAGGAAGGATTTGGCCGGCTTGGGAAGCTGTACGCGAGCCACGGAGAACGGTTCGAACGTCGACGCGAACGATCATCGAATCGACAAAAAGTGTTCGAGTCGTTCCGCGAGCATAGGGCGGCTGTTCGAGGACGATCGTTCGGAGGAGAAGAAGGACGAGGGGAGGCACGAGGTGAAAGAAGAGGAGCATTCGCCGGGCCGTTTGGTCATCCACGAGGAGGCGAACGCTCGCGCGATCGGGTTCCCCGACTCGGGACCGATCATCGGTTCGGTGATAAGCGGTCCGGAAGTAGCCGCCACGGTTTCAGCCGCTGCCGGCGAAATACGCGAACCTGCTACCGGCAAGCGAGTCTCGCGGCCCGATCCTTGCGTATCCGGCGAGAATGAAACGCGGCCGAACGTTGTCGAAGTTAATCGGAACGCGCCCAAGCAGAAGGTACAGACATTGAGACGTCTTCTTCCGGGATCGAGAAATAATCCGTTCGTTCGGCAGGTCACCTCGAGCACCAATCGGTCCGTTCAGGTCCAATTCGCGCAGGCTCCCGCGAGGCAGGAAACTACGATGTAAGGTCGACGCGTGCCGATCCGGTTAGCATCGAAGTACTAAAACATGAAAAACTTTCAGACCTCGACGAGGCTACAAAAAGGAGAAGCCGCCCGTCGACGCGGCTCCGGAGAACGCCGGCAATTACACCATCACCGAACAATTTCCAACTCTTGGCAACTGGGTAGCTCGAATGTCCAAGAACGTAGGAGCCGTTCCATTGGACCGCGTCGTAGGACCGTCTGAAAATTTTAGCCGAGTAAGGGTAGTTTTCGTCCGTTGATCGATTCGGTGAAACCGATTCGTTTGCGGCATGTGCGCGTTATTGATCGATGGGCTTACCCAGCAGGTACCTACGTCGAAGATGCACAAGACGATCGCCCTGAATGTTCCCAACGACATCGTGAACCCAACCCTTCCGTACGGTACCGACGGTTGGCAGTTCTATCATCAACAGCAGCAGCAGCAGCAGCAGCAGCAACAACAACAGCAGCAGCAGCAACAACAACAGCTGTTGCAACACGTTGCACCGCAGCCGGTTCCGATGGTTCCACCTTATCGACCTCCTATTTATCCGTCAATTCCGATGGGTCAATATTACGCGAACAACTATGCCGTGAGTATCGTCGCGAGGAAGGCTCTCTCGNGCAGCAGCAGCAGCAGCAGCAGCAGCAGCAGCAGCAGCAGCGTCAGCAACAGCTGCTGCAACACGTTGCACCGCAGCCGATCCCGATGGTTCCACCTTATCGACCTCCTATTTATACGCCAATTCCGATGGGTCAATATTACGCGAACAACTATGCCGTGAGTATCGTCGCGAGGAAGGCTCTCTCGACGCGGTTGTTCGAAATTCGTGCGTAACGTTTGTAACTTTCTTTTTTTAGATCGATCCTTACAACAGCGCGGCTCTAAATTGTCATCCGACGGTCTGTCCTTACAGTCCCTACCCGTACTACCCCAGACTGCATCCGCCGTCGTTACCGGCGCCCTATCATTTGCCCATACAAGAAGGCTTCCGGCCGCTGCAACACTCGGACAAACGTTACCATCCGTCGCTCCAATCCGAACCTGTCGCGAAGTATTCGCCGCCCGTGGCAAACAATCTGCAGCAACCTACCGCTTTGCCAGCCGATCGTCTGCGAGGCGTCGCCGTTAACGGAAACAACGTCGGAGTGCCCGGTCTACCGCCGCTCTTCTTACCGCCCGCGCCCTACAATCCCATGATGCAAGCGAGGCAGAAAGTACTTCCCGGTATGCTCGCGGCAGCTGCAGCCGCCGCGGTTATGGCAGCGGCCACCTTGAAGGGACAACGCGACCCACCAGCCTGCGACGCGAGGAAGTCCGATCTGTCGAACGCGACTTTCGCGAATGTTATAGACTCGGGCAGCTCCCGTGCCGGAATTATCGGCAAAACGGAGATTCCGCTCGCGAATAATAATTCGCGGATGCAAAATTATTTGCTCGGCGGACTGGGCCTTGCCTCGAGACCCAACGATTTTATTATGCAAGCGGACACGAATTCGAGCGGCGACAACAATCGATTACAAATGACGGCGATCGATTCCTCGACGCCCCAAAGGATTCTAGTCCCGCAGACGACCAAGACCGTCCCCCGACACGAGGTCAGAAACTGCGAGACTCCGCATTTGGGCAAGGTGAACCAAAGCCCTAATAGCTCGTACACACTAGTTTGCTCGAACTGCGGGGTGATCGGCCCGAAATTCAAATGTCTCGGCTGCGAGATGGTTTTTTATTGCAACGGACAATGCCAGCAGATACACTGGAGCTTTCATGTTAAACAGTGCCCGAAGAAAATGCCGAAATTGAAGAAAGTTTCTTGAGACGGCGCGGCGTGTTCGCATTTGGGATCGTGCCCCGTTTGGGTTTTCAGTATAATTTGACCAAAGGCTTGTTAGCATAGCATCGAATAGATTCATCCGTGTCTACGAACAGCCGTATCGGCGACACGGCTACGCGTGATTTCTTATCGTTACAATAATATACGTACAATCGATTCGATCGTATCGGAGAACTCGGCACTCGATGTACCTGGGTAGAGAAAGGCTGCGATCGATCGTGATATTTTAGAATGATCGTAAATAGATTCGACTAATATACATGTATAGTTTCATCCATTCTCGACGAGAAGAATTCGGGTGACGCGAACGGCAATGACAAGGCACGAAACGACGTTTTACGAAATCTCGGAACGATTAGTTTAATTATTCGCGCGTTTAGTACCACTACTACTACCGGAAACATTCGTCTAGACCGATTAGCTAAAAAATTATGCGTCGGAGACGCGACCGGTCTCCCTCGATCATTATCCATTTGTACAAACAACGAGACGTATCGCTCTAACTCGTTCGAATATTTCAAGTACAAACATTTTGATACTGCCGCTTACGATTACGCTAGAACGTAGAATATATTGGGATTCGCCGAGGTGCGGATCATTTTTATACAAACTAATTATATACCTCGTTGACGTTCGGAAGCCGGACGGCAATGCGAACGTTCGTGTTCTTTTATCGTATGTACGAGTTTATCGATGTCTCTGTGCAACTTTTAACGTGTACACGAACGCGAGAGGCGATGAAAAAGAAATTTCTCTTTTTATCTCAACGGACGAACACTTATGAAATAATATGCTACCGATATACGCGACGAACAATTCGAATTGGACGCATCCTGCGAGCAGTAGTTGCTTTATCTCGTCTTTTTTTCTTTGCCAAAATTGAACATTTATAAACGATATCGATAGCGACTCCCATTATAATATTCCTGACACCGTTTAGAACGCGAGAACTTTTTCAACAACCGGAATAAACGATTCGAATATTTCTTTAGACGACAGATACGGACTGGTATACCGGACAACGACTGAACTGCTTCGTTACACATTTGTCGTCGCTTGGAACGACAAAACAAAATAAAGGACTCTCGTTTTTCAACATTTTTACTCCTCTACAAACTAAAAAAGCTACCGCGTTTCGAAAAGTGTCCGAATATGAACGGGAGTCACTCCTATACATCTACGAATGTCTTTTTGTTCGCTCTTTTCGTCGGAACGCACCAAACTACGATGATGTGATATAATCTGTGCCTCGTTTACTCTAACTTATCGCAGTCTTAGCATGTACAGGAATTTCTCCCGAAAGAAAACAACGATCAAAACGGTCTGTTCGAGCGTGCGTCGGGTAAGAGGAACCGCGGAGCTACAAAATACATACGTGGTAAATACTGGATGCGTACGCGACCGTCGAATCGTGGCTAAAATTTAGAAATGAAAAAGTTCACGTACAGTTTCGCGGTCCCTCGAAATACACATTCGGTTCCCGTTCCCCGCGACACTCGCGGAGATATTGCTGTACACGCGCTTCGATGTTTATCAAAATCGAAAGAGTGCTGTATATATTTTTATACAACTCGAGAAACAACGCGTAAACAACATTGTACGTTTCGTAACGGGCTATCGTATGTAAATCTTTTATACCGTGTAGCGATGTTACGTATTGTTCAATAAATAGCACAATGTTGACTTTGTATTTGTCGCGGTGTGTCGTCTGAAAAGCAGAAAATTACCCGGAACATTTCACGTACCATGAAAATATTCCGAGGCGGTGGTTGTGGTCGGATCGGAAATAAAATCGTTTCGCGTGCGAGTTTAAGCAACGATAAATACGCGCGCGAAAAATGATTCCAAGTCCGATCAAAGGATTGGGAGAAGAGAGAGAGAGAGAGAGAGAGAGAGAGAGAGAGAGAGAGAGAGAGCAAGACGTTTTGTAAAAATTTCTTTATTTCTTAATGATCGTGTATGTATAAAACTACCCTCTAATAGCGTTTAAATAGCCATCTGTCTGTATCGGGAATATGAAATGTCCTTGTGATTACACTCGCGCAACCTGTCTTTCTATCGATCGATCGACTTCGCGATCGAGTACTTATAAAAATAACAATTTCGTAGACCGTCCTATCTCTTCGAAAACAATCTAATGTAACGATCGTACAGACACATACGGAACAATATTTCTTTTTTTTTTTTCTTTTCGGTGAGATAAATTAAGCTATTCCGCCACGAACCATGTTCGTATCGTACGCGGATCCACGGTTTACGTTCAGTTTTCGACGTCAAGGTTTTACGAATTCGTTCAATTTATGCAATTAACACCGGTCCGTTACATATTGCCCATCGTTATTAAAATCGGTGCTTCGACTGGAAATTTTGTTGTCGTCGTCGAACGATTTCAATGTTCGTAGTCGTAGCTGCTAGTTTTACGAACCGAACCGAACAGAACCGAACCGACAACAACAACAGTTTGGTCGAGCTCTTCGATTAATATGCAAGCCGTTTTTCGTAGTACGCGTAACGAAAATATTACGGAACTCGATTGAAACCGGTTGTCTATCACGCTTTATAGTTTCAACGTATGCATTTGTTCCTTTTTCAAAATAAATACCATCCAGACCGATCGATTTATATAAACTCGAATTTGCGATCGAAACGATCACGATTACGTTAATTTATAATTCGTTAATTCGTTCGCGTAAAAGATTCCAGAGCATCGTCCAAATATTGCCACGACTACGATCAGCAAACGAATATCGACGAATCATTTTTTTTTCCTCTGTTATACGATCGATTATTACCTTATCCTATCAAACGGAAGACAGTTTATGCTGATCGAGTTACAAATAGTTTATAAATATTATTTGTCTCCTTAATCGAATTGTAAATTAATTCAGTTTTAACAAGATGTATAAAGAATATTTTCTTTTTATAAACTTATCTCGTGCTCTCCGGTTTAAGAACGACGCTCCGCGGCTTAGTCGCAGTCTCGTCTCGCGTTTTTCGATCTTTTTCTTCCCCGTTCTCTTTAATCATGCCCGCGCGGTTCCTCACGCATTCGTCGCAACAAAATATTATTCTGTATCTCTCGTTTATTTACAGTATTATTCACTTCGCGATTCCCTCAATTCGAATCGGTGCCGTCTGATTCTTCGCGTCGTTGATCAGCACGCGTACGCGTGCCTGTGTGTGCACGTATGCGCGCACGTATACGGTCAACGTCCGTTAGAACGTTCTCCAAAATTAATATCACGGCAATCACGGCACGAATTCAAAATTCGCTCTTAGAAATCCTTTTTCTTCTAAATACCGGTGTTAGATCTTGTCTCCGTCGCTATTTCGGTCGTGAGTCGCTGTCGTTTCAGTTTCATTTAACCCATTCTCAACGTTTTTCTCATCAACGAGGTAACAAATAAACGTCGCGTTGGCCCGGTGCAGATTTCACAAATGCAGCGATTCGTCGCGTGAAATTTCACGCGACTTATTTACGCATCGGTCCGAATGAAAAATGCGAATGCGAACGAATTACGGAAAGTTCGTTCGGCTCTTTGTTCCGATGTCGAATAAAAAGTTACTCGATGGAGAAGCGCGCGCGCGCGCGACGCGTTGCACCCTGTCCGAACCGAAAGTGGTGAGAAAAAGATTTACCGCATGGGTTAATCGAACGTAATCGTTGCGGAAGCGTTTAAAATATTGGCTGCGGTCGGATTCGCGGGGATCGCTGTTTTATCGGGCCAGATTCGGGTCGCGCGGTTCTTTTCGCAAAGAGTTTTCTTTTCTTTTCTTTTATTTTTTTTTTTTGGCAAATCCCAATCGGAATCGAGAGCTTCGTCCTCATCGAGGGATAACACCGTCGCGAATACTCGATAATTAATCTTAATCAGACTGTCGATCGTTAACTCTATATAAAATATTTACAATATTTCTATCGTTTCTTATCCGTTTTATTTAGACCTCTTTGCTTCTCTACGTTCCATCACAAAATTCTTTTCTCTTCTATAAAAACGAGTTTGCTTCAATCTTGTGAAAGGATTAAAATACTAAATTTTATCGAAGGCACAAATGTTTCGGTTTTCTTTCGTATTCGTTTCTTTTCTAATACTCGGCCGTATCGCCGTGCTAGTAATACTTCTATCGACAGAAGAATCTCGCCGCGGAGATCGCTCGTACAAAAATTTCCCTTTCGCCCCCCTCGTCCGTCCTCTTACAATAATCTTTGTCTCGTGATCCCGAGGGCGATTACAATGGCAGTATTGAAGCAAA